CAAAGAAGAGCCATATTTTTTTTTAGTTTTGCTTATATGCGCACTCAGTATTTTTGACCATTTAATAAATTTTGTTGTAAGTTACATTCGTTTAATGATCACCCGTCAACTTTTTTTTCCTTAAAGCGATCTAAAAAAAATTTATTGCCATTTTCAAAAATATCCCTAGACTTTTCCGATGTGTGTATTATTTTATGTCTGTCCTCCTGATGTGAAGATTTCCGTTGCAAGAAAAATACTACATTTGAAAGAAAGTATGTCAAAAAGAATTTCAGTTCATAAGAATCTTCTGGAGAAATGCTTAGAAATGAATTTGCCATAACGGATGTTTGGAATTATGAGAAAGGTATATCATATCACGAACATGGTTCAAATGAAAATATTTGTAGATTCCGTTGATTATCAATGAATCTGAAAATGTACAAAATGAAACTCGAATATATGAATATATTTTTATTATTAAAGCTGTAAACGTTGAAGAATAAAAGTATTTTTGAACACTAGACAGTAGTAGTTTCATATACAATATCTTGGAAAAAAATCATATTCATCCCAATAACACACAAATCCACAGATAAAAATTTTCACAAAATTCATATTGATTGTTGACTGAATGACATGCGGAGCTGCTTCACTGACAGACACTCTCATCTTGAGTGATATTATTTTTATTGTGAATCATGTACATATGGATATCTCATTCTGAACTTGATATGTGACTTTTTCGTAATTTTTCTTGTAGTATAGACTTATTATGATTACAGTTCAAACTAGACTCACGAAAATAAATTGATGGTTTCAGGAAAAATTTACGAATTACCAAAAAAAATTAATTGGAAAAAGTGTTTATCATGTTTTCAAAAATTAATAATTTCAACTCCAGTCTTTTGTATTTTGTTAAGAAAGAAGTGACTTTATAACTCAGTTCTGTATATCACAAAATGACCTATGCAACACATATTCAACAAACACTACATTTCATTTCTTGTTGTATGAAGCCAACGATCCCATTTATTATCGACGATTTCAAAGAAGTATTTTGGGCAAGCATTGCCATAATCTCCACCGTATCTGTTAGTTGAATCCCACGGAAAAGATGGCGGACAGATTCAGCTAGTTGGTCTCTTTGCTTTTCCGTCATGTCCTGTCTGATTATATCTACAAGTGATTTGAATTCGGAGCCAAAGGCCATCGATGCAGCTCCTCCTAAAGCAGCACCTGTGAAAAATGAATATTTCGGTTAGGCATAGGTTTGGATACATTTGATAGGCCATTCAACCGATTGATTCAACAATTTTACGAGTATAGTATNCCATCCTGACGAACACGGCCATCTGGGCAGTGTCAACGACATCTGTTGATTCATCCAGTTGAAGTGAAAAATAAACACAGTTATCTAAGTCAGTTCTTAACTGTAAGAAAATATCATTGCTCATTACTTTTACACGTCTCATCACTGTATTAGCAGAAAGTTGCATAGATTTTATAGCTGAAACTATATCGTCCTTATTTCTGAAGTTGTCATAAGGTTTCTTTTTTGTGCAATTATCTGGGACACACGGTACGATACTTCAGTTGCAGCCTTATTTTTGTTGACTGTTCTTAAAAATATTGATTGTTGTCCAATTAACTGCTTTTTTAATAGTGGTCTTCTCATTTATATATGAAACGGTCTCAAAATGTTCAATCACGTTACTCAAGCTCAACCTCAACCATAAATGACCTTAGGGCTCTCAAGAAAGACTTAAAAGACTTGCTTTCTGTGAGACCTCATAACAGCTTAGCAGATTTCTACGATGATGATTATATTTGAGCATGACTTACTGTAACAGCTATCATACTTTATTGAATAAATTTAATTTAATTTAGTTCATTCCACTTCATTGACCATGTTTTCATATTTTGAACGTTTTTATCAGGTTATTGTTAGTTACAAGTCTCTTTTCAGTTCATATAAACACTTACTTTGTGTGATTTTATATATATTTTTCGCCAGGCTTTGTTAATAAGAATTTTTTCTTTGGGAAATGAAGTATATTTTGAATTAAATTGGCTATCGTATCTGAATTCACATATCTGAACGTCTATGAGTGAACATACCAAATGAATAATACCCACCTGCCAATAAACCCAATCTTCCTCCAACGATAGCCCCAAGGAATGAAGTTACACCAACCAGTGCTGCTCCTTTGGCTGATTCCCTTATGGTCGCCTTCAGGTTTTCTTGTTGGCAAAGTAGTTCGCAAACTTCAAGTACAACTCTTCTACCGTTACTCATTTTGAAGCAAGGTTGTATAGAGTTACGACTGAGTTCTTCTTATCTAATATCTTTATTTAACTGTATAGCTAACTCGTTGGAATTGAACTCACGGTGAGTAATGAATGTTGGAATCTGTAAATTAATATCTGATAATCAAATATCAATATCCTTTGAAATTTATAATTACCCCAGATATTTTTTAATCAAAACAACTTGTTTCATCAAGACAATTCCACTATTGTCGTTATTATTATAATTTCTCCGACTATTTTTGATAGTATGTTTATATTACTAAAGGGCGTATGTCTTGACGATACTATTGATTCATCAGAATTCAATTCAAGGTGCAGTAAAAAGTCATGGAGGATCTGTTTCTATTTGAAAATCCAAGGTCGATATTTGTAGTAAACACGGATTTGATATGCTCTCCAAAGAATGACTTTTTATCAAAGCCCAAAGAAATGACATGCTTTTTTAGGAAGCTTCATGTTTAATCTTCAGAAATGATCAAGGATATTGATATGAAATATTTAACTTTGTTCAAAATGGAACAGGTAAACTATTTCGAAGGTTAAGGACAGAGACGTATCTTTTTCTGGGTCACAGGTCAGAGAAATCACATATATCCAATGGATTTGTCTCGGGCCTGATCTCCCATGTGTACAACTTTTCGAATGTCAATGTCACTGGGCTTTCTCTGGTACCAAATAAATCAACTTTGAACATCGTACTGGATTTTTGCCAGCAGTTTCTACTGTGAACAGAACAGAACATTTATTTCCGTTAAATACTACATACATGAATACATATACATTTATCACAAATACATTGTTTGCATTTGTTGCGGTATTTTGGCCTAACTAGGCTTGAGGAAACTATTACCAATTGATATAATTTCTATAACCTAGAGCAGGGGTCTCCAAACTTTGAGTCCTTCGGGCCATAATGTTTTTTTCAGTTTGTTCCAGGGGCCAATTTCTGCCCTTAACTATATTTCTAGACTAGGATAGTCGCAAAGTGCGTGACCTAAGCAAACTTACGCTTTTTTTGCATTTCAATTATTATTGTGTATTGTGACACTTAACGACANCTTACTTGTGTGAGAAAACGTTTTCCAAGATGAAGTACACAAAGAATGTTTACAGATCTCAATTAACCGATGAGCATCTTAAATCTCTTTTGATAATTGGTACAAGTAAAATTGATCCACAACTACAAAGTATTGTCGGTGGAAAATCACAATTACATAAATGTCATTAGTATTTTTGTTTCACTGTGATTCATCTCAATTATTTGTTAGTTATTAATATGCTTAAACTTAGATACTTGAGTTAAATTTTCTTTGTCATAATTTCTGTCGTTGAGTTTTGCCTTGCAAGTAAATAAACCCGAGTAAGTTGGTCCTAATACTGAGCTCTGTGGTACATCATTTTAAATATCCCCATATCTGAGTAATGGTCAAGAAATTGATTGATGTTTTGATTGAAATGCGATATTCTGACTGACATTCTGCGATGAAGTAGGTAAGAACGAAACCAGTTATATACTTGTCCGCGGAAACCGCAGTAATAAAGTTTTTCCAGCAGTAGCTCATGATCAACGCAATCAAACGCCTTGGTCAGGATGCAAAATTTCCTGATCAATGCTGTTTGTTTTCTATTGTTTATTTACGACCCACTCTGATAACTTTGAAAAACATGAAAGTAAGGAGATGCAGCGGTAATTGTTAATATTCAGTTTGTCACCCTTTTTGAAGATGGGTACAATAATTGCTGTTTTTAAACACTCGGGAAATTTTCCTTCAATTAATGACTTATTGAATAAAAATGTTAGGGGTACTTTCAGGTGTTTTGAACGAAATACTTCGAGCCAAATTTCTGACCGATTTCACCGATGCTGAACTGGAAGCTTTGTCAATCGACTATTTTATATGACATGCAGGACCTTGGGAATTATTGAATATGTGGCATGGGTTACAGAAGGACTACAAAAATCGATCGTTCACCATATTCCATCCACTACCTACATGAGGTGTCTACTTTATCTGCGTCATCCCCCCTAAAAGCAATGTGTTATAGTCTACTTAGCTCACAAAAAGAATGTTTTTTGTATTAATTTCCAAGGTGTGTAAAAGTGGGAAATGTATGAGTCATGTCTCTAACGAGTCGTTCTTCGACGCTTCCCGTGGATATCAATAAAGTACGTACCACACACTATCTTTCTCGACATGGTCCTTGTTGAAATGACAAGGTCATATGCTCTCAGCCACATTGATAGAACTGAACTTTTACTAGCATTGATTTGAAGATACTGCTTCGTAGATTAGAAATAAATGGGGCTATATCTTCATTCAGCAACTGCATTGCGGTATTCATGTCCCATGGGTGGTATGATAGATGTATTAGTGTATCGATGGCACTTACGTTCATTTTGGAGAATGCAATTCCTTTCAAAAAGTTCGAGGTACTTAGGTTAGGTTGAGTTGGGTCCAAAGTGAGTAGGTCTATTCGACCCTCCATCGCAACCCGCTTGTTTATTGTGACTCACACCTATTAACACTCGACCAAATAAACCCAGCTTCTTAACGAAGCCGATTAGATTGTGTTGAGTGGTCTTTCAGGTCGGATGGTGAGAGTACGGCTCTGCCGACCTCTAAAAACCTGAAATGGTCCCCAGCGGAGCTGGCTCAAAGTTTGTGCTCTGCGGTTTCATTTTTTTTTCAAACAAAGGCAACAACACTGTCTTCCGACAATCCGAGTCTCTGCATATGATTCGAATGACAGTGATCTGTAAAATGGCCTGTTGGACATCCTGTAGTACAACAACTGTTTGGTATCAAACTGCGAAGGATGAATGAACGCTTTGGAGTGAGCCAATCATTGAAGATTCTGCAAGAAGTCCATAAATCTTCTTGCCATACAGATGTTCAATCTTTGTTTGGCAAAGCCTAAAACGATGCCAATGACAGGTGCTGATTCAATGAAGCTGCTTGCAGCACCCTCCTCTGTAAGGTCAGCAGCCTCATTGCCTTCCAGGCCAGTATGGCTAGAAATCCAGACCAGTGACAATCTGTTGAGTCTTTCTACCGAGGAGTGTCGTTTTTGACAATTTGCTACCAATTTAGATATTGCTCGGTAGGAGCCAAGAGCTTCCAACGCCACTTGACTGTCCGAGAATATATTGATTGACATGTGTATGAGGTTGGATCATTCCAATCTCTCCGCAAACAATTCAATAGCGTGAATGTCCACTTGAAATATAGTCGCATAGGTTCCTACGCAGGTTGATATCTCTGTCCTGGGTCTGCGACTGAAAACACCTGCATCAGAACCGGAAAGTTCTTTTGATCCATCTGTGAACCAACAACTATCTGCCCTCAATATTTCCTTCTCCCGGAGGATCCAGTCCTCTCTACTCGGGAACAGTACTTCATAAGGCAGTTCGTAGTTGACAGTTGGAGGCATAAAATCAGAGGTCAGTTCCAGAATGCTGTGACTTCCAATGTCAACCAACAGTCTGTTGCACTCTGCATTAAATAGATTTTTGCAATTGGCAATGTGCACAAGTTTATAGGCAGTCAATCTAGCCTCTCTCTCCAGAAAAATGTGAAAGAAAGGTAGATCTAGAAGGATCTCCATGGCCGTTGACGGTGTGGTACTGATGTCACCACTGATGCTTAGACAAGCCTGTCTCTGTAAGGCGCAATCCACACAGAACGGGTGTATGGCGGTGGCGTGGGACTGGCGTGGTAGAGGCATGTACCACTTGCATGTTCGCTTATGGGGCAATACAGATAGAAATGGCGTGGCACAGTCGTGATGTGTCACGCCACCGCCACGTCACTTCTATGCCACGAGTGGCATACACTAATGGTAAATGCCATATACAATACAGTGATTTTCGTTTGTTTGTTTTTGTCTGTTTGGCAAAATGCGGGACGATTTTGCGTATCGAGTTTTGTGAAGAAGTGCAACAGTATGCAGTTCTATACGATTACAGAAGATCAGATTATTGCAACGGAAGTGCGCAAGATAAGGCATGGGAACAGATTTCAAATAAATTCAGTGAAAATGGTAAGTATATACGTCTTTATCAACAAAAGATGTTGACACTAGTGTTTACATTATGAATTATATAGGGTGGGCGAACGAAAATCAAACAACCCTGATTAATTATAGTTCCTGACATTAAAAAAAAACGCCAAACGCCGAACTATAGATTGGTATACGGATATATCTGCATTCAATGGCTTCAATGTTAAAATTACTATTTGTTTGGAATGTACCTAAATAATTTTAATAAATAAAAAGTTGTAATTTGTCAAGTTTCTCATGTCTGACATTTTTTTTGAGGTGAAAGCATCTTATGAATATTTTCAATTCTGTCATTTTCACCCCTTCAGGATAAGGGGTAAAGTGATAACAAGCATTCAATGCTTGTTTCAAAAAGAGAATTTAAGATCCTTTAAAATGAAGTGTCACTTGAGCCCTTATCCCGCTTGAAATAAGGGTGAAAAACACTCCTCCTAGGAAGCAAAAATGACATATTTAAAGATATTCACAAAAGCTTATCAGTACTTTGAAAAAAAGCAACATTTGCTCGAGATTCAAAATAGCACGAGAACCAACGCTCCAATCGATCCCCCTGACCCGGACCTGGCGTTTTTACAAAGTGTTCTTCCTGACATGAAGTCTATGCATTTTGTTCAGAAGCGGTGTTTCAAAATTGGAATTTTAAATTTGGCCGAACAAATACTATCCTCGACCATCCCTGAAGCTTCTTCTACACCAGTGGAAAGCTCCCAATCTTGGATTGAAGACTCGGTAAATAGGAATCAAGATTCAGTACTGCACAGGAACACAGACGAGTTTCATTTGAGTGAATTTATACATTACAATAATTAGTATTAGTAATATAATAGTTAATAATTGATATCAATAATTAACTTTCGAATAACTTTTTTTTTGTTGTATTTGTTTTTGAATTAAATAGAAATAAATTCACTTGAATATATTTTCTTCCACTTACCTTTACGTAATTGACAACCTCTCCTCCGGACTGACAGGTTCCCTCCAATTTGTAGATTTCTTTTCAACGTTAACCCTTACTAAAGCTAGTATTTTATAGAAACACTGAACTGACATTTGTTAGAAACTTTGAAAACGTTCAGGGTATATATTGAGATCTCGCATAACATAGAACGAACCACCAGTTATTCTTTTATCTAACCACAAGGGATGTATACAGTATCTCCTTTGCCTTTGAATGTTAGCTAAATTTATAAGGTTCAACATATCTTGGTCATCTTCGTCGTCCGAGATAATTTTAACTTCACAGACATGTACGTAAATGATAAATGACAATAGTCACATTGGATCCCTTGCTATGTGAATTGTGCGCTCCACGCCAGCCCCACGTCACCGCCATACATCCGTTCTGTGTGGATTATGCGTTTCACGTCAGCTCCATTCCTGCTCCACGCCAGTCCCATGCCAGTCCCACGCCACCACCATACACCCGTTCTGTGTGGATTGCGCCTTAGCCAGAGAGCTGCGCCTGGGCCGTATTCTGTAAGGTCTTCGGCCATTGGGCAATTGCACCATGAGTGCTCATTGGTCTGACAATCATCACATAAATCCAATGGGTTGAGACCTGAATGTGAATGTGCAGACTTGATTTCTTTTTTCTTTTTCGTAAAATCAATATGACCTGAATAATACAAATTTGATATAGCTTTATTCATTTAAAAAATTTAATCCTCCAAATGAGTGCATTTGAACAAGATAACTTGGATAAAATTCAACAAATATTTAGAGAGAAAAAGATAATTTGAAAACTTTCACAAATACATTCACAGTTACAATTAAAATCAGTAATTCAAACAAAACACTTAAACGACGTATAAGCCCTTTTCTTGCAAGAAAAATACTTTAAGTTTCTCCACTATTTCTATCCTCATTTCTAGGTTATCCTCATCCATAATCATCTGGAGTCCACTTTGCGGATCGGTGAGTTGTACGTCGTTGAACAAATGCATGATCGATTCAACCATTCGAAATTCCTGGTCCTGGTTCAATTCATATTTAATGACGTTTATGATGAACTTAATGTGTGGTTGCACCTCTTCCCATGTCAACAATCCCGACGCGTGAGCTGCGACAAAAAAATGTGTTGAGAAGGTACTTCAGTAAGTATTTTCGAAAATGTTGTGGTGAACTCGAAAGAGCGGTGTGTCAGAAGGACCAAATATAGATTGTATCAGCAGAATATTTGAAATACTTCTATAGAGTTACTAGAGTGTAATGGAATTGAAAATTATGGAATTTTTTGAGTTGGAAGCATATATTTTGAAAATTTGAAACTCAAGCAATACCAGGTCTATTCGAAAAATAAGGTGATTTTTCATCTTTCTCAAAAACTATTCAGTTATTCATCAATTTCTATTCTGTTCCCTTCAAAGTATTTCCCCTCAGTGTTTTTTCTTAACATCGAAGCATTTCTAATATGCACTTTTCGGTATATCCTTGAGTACTGTCAGCGATTCGTTTCCGCAATTCGCATAACGCCGTCCTTTCATGGATGTTTTCAAACTCCGAAATAGAAAAAATCACAGGGGAGCAACTCCGGTGAATACGGTGGCTGAGAAATGTTCACGGTCGAGTTACAAACAAGCAATGAGCAGTAAGTAGGTGTATTATTGTGATGCAAAAGTCATGAATTGAATGACCAGATTGAACTTCAGAACCACATTTAATAATGATTGCATGAAGATTATAATGCCGGAAAGGGAAACGAAAATTTCTATGTTTTTTACCACTTTTATTTGTAACTAACGTTGCTGCAGTTTCGTCCTATATGGACATTTTCAAACTTATACAATATTGCATAAAACTTATTGTTGTATAAAACTTATACAATATTGTATAAGTTTGAAAATGTCCGTATAGAACGAAACTGCAATAACGTTAGTTATCAATAAAAGTGGTATAAAACAGAAATTTCCATTTCTCTTTGCATTATGATTTCCTACCACGTAGTAACGGCTAAATCCATCAATTTATTATAATTTTGATCTGTTAAATTGAAGTGTTCATCTCAGAGATGTTTTAACATGATATTTTTTTTCCTAGTAAAATGTTCGTGGTCGATATTATTTAATAAATATTTATTTTTATGTATATGCGTAAGTATGTTTCTAAAAATGTTTGTCTTATATCGCATATTCTTGCTTGTGAAAAGAGTAAATTGCTGGAGAAGGTGGGTTCTTTTCCATACATGATTTACAGAAACGAATTCTGACAAATTAAATACCAAGAAAATGTCAAGAAGCCATTTTACTGAGTATTACTCACCTTCCATTAAGTCTATACCATCAACTCTCTCGGTACCTCTCAAATTTAATTCCCCGGCTAATAAATACATCATCATACGGATACATTCGTGCTTGTTGCTCATTCGTGTAAGGTGAGGCATTTTTTTTTGTCCAAAAGTAATTTTTTTTCGAGAAACTTTGGAAACCGATATCTTCAAGTCACTTGAAATGGAAACTGAATTTCATGAAAGTGGTGGCAGGTATTCCAAACTCTTTTTCATTGGCATGGGCGTACAAAGGAAGGAGAATTTCGAAATTTGCAGAAAAGAAAATCAAATCAAGCGATGTTTTGAGAATTAAAACCGTAACTGAAGAATAACTTTTTATTTCAATCAAATAGAAGTCAAATTTTATTAACCGTTCACAGAAATTACAGAATAGAGCTTTGAGAGTAGATAAATTCGAACATGGTAGTTCAGACAATGAAGCTGAAAATGAATAAATTCCTTTATTCGATAATTAGTAGCTTCTGAATCATGAATTCACGGTTTCAATTCTGCAAAGGGTTCTACCTGATTGTTATTATTTAACACGCTTTTATTAGCGTCACTTGTGTGTATGTTCGTTTGTATGATTGTTTGTAACTCTCCTTGATTGATCTATTCGCGGGCAGATGGCGCTGTACGTAATCTCCTTGATACATCGACATTATTGCTTGATCTATTCGCGGGCAGATGGCGCTGTACGTAACTTCTTTGATATATCGATATCATTGCTTGATCATCGCTCCTTGTATTTCTTCATTTGAAAAAAGTATTTTCTTTATCAACGCGCCTGCTGACTCATTTGTAACCCTTCTTTGCGTGCCTGCTGCCTTGGACTTGGTAGCTGATTTTCAAGCTCCCCTTCCGAAATCGGAAAATATCAATGGGCATTTGTCTAAATAAATCTTGGGTGATGCTATAGAATGCACGAAATGAGGGAAATGCTATCTAAGAAGTGATTATGATAGTTTCAGTGCCGAAGACGTAATGAATACAATCTACTGAGAATCGAAACTAAATCTACTCAACATAAAATTGAAAATATATTCCTAATGAGCTTTTTACTGAGATCTATTTCTCATAATGTCTTCTCTGAAATGAATTAGCTTCATGAATGGAAACAAATTGCTCTACTTTGTCAGAAAATTCAAAATAATTTTTGAACAGCAACTGTTTAGCCTTCGAAGTGACCAAGTCTGTGTTGTCGGCAAGAATTCAGGATGAAAAATCCCTTATATTCAACACTGTGGACTAACAGGCAAACAGAAACAAAAAAATAATAAAAATTACTTCCTTCAGCCATTCAGTATTTTTGTATCTTCATTTTTTCTTTCTTTTTTATTATTATTTTCATTTTCATGCCTTATTGTAACATGCAAGCCCTAAAATTTTATACTTTTGAGTTTTCGGCATTGGTGGAAAAGCAGGTGTAAATGTAAAGTGAAAATTGAAAAATTTTGTATTTTATTCGAAGAACAATGAATGTATTATCATTATTATCATTCTACCTCAGAAGGAGTTGCTGGTCAGCCGCTATACCTTATGCTCCGACCCATTCACAACTATAAGGTGAGCGTTCATTGGAGCCAAGAAACGTTTACCAAGAGCGAACCAAGAATGATAACCTTCGGCTGTTATAGCTTTTGTTATTATAATTACTAATTCTATCATGATTTAGGTTTATTTGACGAACGCCACTGTGACTGGATCTGAAAAAACTTTATCAGTATATGTATTCGTAGGGCAAGTATCATGGATAACTTTTTTCTCAGCAAACGGATGCAAGGTTTCACAAATTTTCTATATTTGTTGAAATATTTGTTTTTTTTTTCAATGTAGGGGAGATGGGGGGAATGATAACTAGTGGGTAATGGGAGCCATCTTATTAATAAGGATTGGAACGCCTTATTGTAACTTCTGAACGCCCTCGTTGACCTTAAGCTGTGATGGCTCATAGATACAGCTGTTATTTAAATCAGTTTGTTTTAAACTGTTGACCGGAGAGGAGTGAAATTGTGAAATCTTGTTCTAGACATTCGTGCAAGTTATTGGCGCGGTAAGTATTATTGGTTTTGTCTAATCCATATTATTTTATCACTATAGGTTCGTGAAAGTATGTAATTTCATTGCATCTCATCTGATTTTCTTTCAAATTATGCTGTTTTTGATTTTAAACATTTTAAATAAAAAATGCACCTTGAGGTAACAGGAGCCACAATGGCTCCCATTACCATATTATCCTAATGTTTATTTCAGATGCCCAGGACGTGGAAGAGAAAAACCGATAAGGGTTTGTGGACATCAGAAGACCTCCAAAGGGGTGCTAGGTTGGTGGCTAATGGAATGGGTATAAGAAAAGCAGCTATTCAATGTAATATCCCCTACCAAACCTTCCAGAGAAGATCAAAGAAGGGCAACTTGCAGTATTCGGCGCAATTAGGCAGACGTCCTTGTTTTACAATCGAACAAGAAAAAGAAATGGCTGCCCATCTAATTGAGCTCTCTAACATGTTCTATGGTTTATCTAGATGGCAATTTTGTCGCCTTGCCTATAGATGCGCAGAAAATCTTAAGATAAAGCATCGATTCAATACCCAGAAGCAGCTAGCTGGAAGAGACTGGTTGAAAGGTTTTTTGAAACGAAATCCTACCATTAGTTTCCGTAAGCCCGAAGCCACGAGTATCAATCGTATCAAAGGTTTCAACAAAACAGAAGTCACACGATTCTTTGAAAATCTTGAAGCAGGCAGTTATGTCCAAATATAAATTTCAAAAGTCGAATATATATAATATGGATGAGACCGGCATAACAACGCTTCAAGAACCAGGAAACATTTTAGCAAAAAAAAGCAAAAAAGAATAGGTTCAGCAACTAATTGGGAACGTGGCAAAAATATTACCGTTATTTGCGCCATGAGTGCTGTTGGATCATATGTGCCACCTTTCTTATTGTTTCCAAAAAAACGATTTTCTCCATTACTAGCTAAAGGCGGACCCGCTGATGCAGCATGTCAGGTTACATTCAATGGCTGGACCAACGATGAGATGTTTCTGTTATGGCTGAAGCATTTTGTTAAATTCACAAAACCGAGTCAAGATCAAACAGTTCTGCTAGTGCTAGAAAATCATTCTAGTCACGTAACACTTGAAGCCTATAATTATTGTAGGAACAATCATATAACTATGCTTTCACTACCGCCGCATATTATAAGGAATGTGATCTATACATGAGATCAAATCATTTATCCCAGATAACACCTTATGATGTTGCAAGTATCTTTGATAAAGCATACATTAGAGTGGCCTCAATAGACAAAGCAATATCAGGTTTTAGATGTAGATGTCATATCAAACAATTAGTAAAAAGAGCAAACAAAAAAAATGATAAAACCTCTAAAGATCAAAACGGCAAGTATTTGCTTCATCACCAGAAAATGAAAATATTCAAACGCCAAGTAAAAAAATCTGCATCGGCAGAAGCCGAAAAAGTCCGAACACAAAGTGAAAAAGGCATTTTCCGAAGAATCATCAAATTCGGAAAGTGAAACAGAATTTTGTGATGACGAAGAATTTGATGATCTTGATGATGACGGAATTNATATATATTTTAAGTTATTGACATACCATATGTACATACTGTACCTCAGTGGCAAATAAATAAATAAATAAAAATAAATAAATAAATAAGTAGCTCATAGATGAATAATCCAAATATTGCCGACTAATTTTTTGGTCCTCATATTTGTTAACAAAATATGATATGAGGTTTTATTTTGTGAGTGAAAAAGTTTGCGAAACGAGCGTAACGAGTTGAGCAATTTCACGAACAAAATAAAACTTACTTTTTTGTATAACTCTCCTGTTTTCATAATAAAATCGATACATTCATTATTTCTGTTTAAATCTGTTTAAATCTGTTCGAAATCTGTTTTTCCGTTAACCAGCTGTCGCACCCCTACGAATGACAACCCTCAGAAGTCGAAACTTGTGCGAGTCAAGGATTAACGAAGTCTTACCTTTTAACGTGTGATTCCTAACACACTTTGACGTCTTTTGTCAGTTAATTATTTTCATACTATCACATTTGCTGTGAAGTGGCCATGTCAGGTGACGCTGAATCACCTGGTTACCAACAAACATTATTGTTTACAGCTAACGCGTTTTATTTGAAGTCACATTTAAAGTTCTTGCTGGTGTTTAATGTCTTGCATAATGAAGAACAATATTGAGGAATTGTGAGTTCCTGATGATATTGAAGAGGCTGCAAAAAAAGCTTTAATTGAATTGTTACCAAGAAAATCGGCTAAGCAGTACGACATCGCATATTCTAATATTCTTAGCTGGTGTAGAGTTAAAAACATCGAAAAGGAAATTTCAGCGAAACCGTCGTCTCAGCCTATCTGGAAGAAAAATCAGAAATATGGAACTCGTCAACATTGTGGAGCAAGTTTTCAATGAAAAAATTCGAGTGGGTTCGTTAAAAATGGTGTTAATACAAGCAAATGTTTCAAGGTAATAGCATTCTCAACTTAGAGGCCTAAAACATGAAAAACTTACGTTTGAACAAGATCAGAGGTTTATAAATGAGGCGTCAGATGAAAAATATTTGATGATAGAAGTTGCTACAATTATCGGAATATAAGTAGCTTGCCGGCGTGAAGAGCTCTGCCATTCATTAATAGAAGACAATAAATTAACGGATAAATCGTTGATTATTCAAATTCCAAATTGCATTGTTGGAAAAAACATTGACTATTTTAATAAATACGTTGCATTACGCCCTTCTGTTATCAATCATCAACTTTTTTTTCTGAAAAACACAAATTATAAATGCAGTACCAACTCAGTTGGTATGAACACGTTTGGGAAAATGCTCTTCAACATTGCTGAGTTTCTGAACCTCCCGGAACCAAAGGAATATACAGGTCACTGTTTCAGAACGTCTTTTGTTTCTTGACTGGCAGAATCAGGAGCAAATATAACGGATATTGAGGAGCACAGAGGATGGAAGTCTACAACAGTAGCTGGGCGTTACATCGAATAATCTATTTCTTATAAACAGCCTATTGCTGAAAGAATACTCCCAACAGCTAGCTCCAGCGTTACATCATCCTTCTCTTCACTTCAAAAATCAAACGATAATGCCCATGAAATTGTCAACTCAGCTACTTCAAATATATTACAAAGCTCTTCACCATCGCAAGGTA